AGTTAATGTGAAACACATAGTTATTTATCCAAATTTTTATTTATTTATGTTTTAGACATTTGAAAATTGCATCAAATCTTAAAAATTTGTGTGATTGGTATAAGGAAAGACTTGACGCAATTAAAAAAGTACCAAATTTCTTGGTGCCAAAATATTTTGCATTGCTTGTTAAAACGGCATATACAGCGGCTGTTAAAGAATCATTAAAGCAATTATCGCCTTTTGTATTTGAAGGTGGGCCATTTATTCGTAGCCTTGCCTTAGTATCAGTTCAAATGTATGGAACTGTGCTATCAACTGGTCTACACCCAACAGAAATTGGACCATCAGTAGCAGCTGGATTACCACATTTTACTTTTCAACACATGAGATGTTGGGGACGTGATGTATTTATATCGTTGCGTGGTTTATTTATTACTACTGGTAACTTTGAAGCAGCCAGAAGACATATTATCGGATTTGGAAGTGTTCTTAAACACGGATTGATACCTAACTTGCTGGATTCCGGAAGACGTCCAAGAGATAATTGTCGTGAAGTTGAATAAAATCTAAAGAAATATATTACTTAATAATTATTTAATTTCCTCATTTATATTTAATAACAGTATATTCCAGAAGACATATTATCGGATTTGGAAGTGTTCTTAAACACGGATTGATACCTAACTTGCTGGATTCCGGAAGACGTCCAAGATATAATTGTCGTGATGCTTCTTGGTGGTATCTTCAAGCAGTGCAAGATTATTGTAACTTTGCGCCGGAGGGATTAAAGTTTCTTAGCACGCCTGTAGCTCGAAGATTTCCAAAAACGGACGAATTTGTTGAATATTTTAATCCATTAGCTTATTCGTATAGTAGTACAATATTAGAAATTATACATGAAATCTTGGAACGTCACGCACGTGGTATACATTTCCGTGAATGGAATGCAGGACCTAATCTCGATCATGCTATGACTTCTAAAGGATTTGATATTGATATTGAAGTTGATTGGAGCACAGGATTTTTGTTTGGCGGTAATCAATGGAATTGTGGAACGTGGATGGATAAAATGGGAGATTCCGAAAGGGCAGGAAACAAAGGGATACCAGCCACACCTAGAGATGGTGCTGCTGTAGAAATTATTGGATTACTCAAATCTACATTGAGATGGGTTATTGGATTAATTGAAAAGGGTGTTTATCCTTGGAAAGGAGTTGAAGTAAAAGGTGTTTATAAGATCCAATCTATCAGTAATCAATCAATTAATCAATTGAGCGGTTTGCCAATTTATTGATTTTATATATATATATATGTTGTTGTTGTTAGTTAATGGTGCTACAAAATTGATAACGTTTTTCGAGTGGAATGATTTGATACAGAATTCTTTTGAGAAATATTTTTATGTTCCTTTAGGTAAAAAAAAATTAACAAGATATTTTTTAAATATAAAAAATAATTATAAATGGTGCTTTATATATTAAACTTATCAATTTATTTAGATCTTAAAGATGACTCGAAATATGCATTAAATACTAAATTAGTAAATCGCCGAGGCATCTATAAAGACATATATAGATCTACAAAGGAATATGAAGATTATCAATTAAGACCCAATTTTCCGATTGCAATGGTCGTTGTAAGTTTTTTATTTTTAAATTCTATTTATTGTTATATTATATGCGTATACACAATAATTACGTAAATAACAAAAATAAAATAAATTGAAGGCACCTGAGTTATTTGAAGAAGAACATGCAATGCAAGCATTAATTATTACGCGTGAAATACTTGCAGGACCGTTAGGTATGCGTACTTTGGATCCAAAAGATTGGGCATATCGTGGAAATTATGATAATAACAATGATGGAGATGATAAATCCATTGCAAAAGGATGGAATTATCATCAAGGCCCTGTAAGTAATATTATATATATATATATATATACACACATATCGTATATATAAAAAATAAACATTATTAATTCTTCTTTTATTTATTCAAATCACCCATCAATCAACCTTCGTTCCTTTCCTCTGTTTTGATTTATTGATATGATAAATTCAAGGAATGGTTATGGTGTACTGGCTATTTTCTTAGAGCTTATCTATATTTTGATACACGTGTCGGAATAGGGAAAAATAATGTAGGTTTATTTAAATATTAGTATTAAATTATATATGTATATATACTATGTGAATATCAAATTAAAACATGCATATATTATTTTTTTAAAAAAAAAAAATATATATAAAAATCATAACAAATAAATCATATCATAACAAAATTTATCATAACATCATCAAAATTTTTAAAAAATCAAAACAAAAACAAAAATAGTTTACTTGTAAAAACAAATTTTTAAAAACAAAAACAATTATTGTTATTGTTATTTATTTTTCTCCTCTCTTCTTTCTCTTCTTTTGTAATATAATCAATCATTTTTTATTTATTTATAAATAATGTCGTATTGTTATTATTCAGACACTTCTTCTTCCTTTCCTTCTTCTACCAAAACCTCAAATACTAAAAATATAAATATTAAAAATATTAAAAATAATATATCAAATAATATAAATAATAATAATATTACGAATACTGCATCCGCCACCACCAACAACTGCAACACCTTCGCCGCTGCCATTACATTTAATAACATGACACATCAAGCTTGGACTATTGCTGATTTACCGCATCGACGATGGAGGTTAAAATATTTACCTGATGAATTCCGAGCAGAAGACGTTAGAGACGAAAATCATCCTTATTTCACATTATTAAAAATTTTTGATCAATTAAGGGACTTGGCTTACACAACAGAAGATGTACCAATGCTATCAATAATAGAGCATAAATTAAAAATCGTTGGAAAAATCATTGACAACTTGATTGATTTGCCGGGTCCTTATATAAAAGGCGTAATCGATTTCACTGCATTATCAGCCTACGTTCATACAATCAACGATTTATGGTCCAAAAAAAATCAATTAATGTTGACACCTGTGTGGAGAAGTCATATAACTTCCGAGAAATTTTCCGAATATTTAAATACCGAGGTTTACGAATCATTTTTATTACCAACACTTTATCATATAAGTTTAATATTAGATTGGTGGTTGGGCGATCCTCAATTCGAATTTTGGATTGGAATAATTGATTTAAATTTTGATCAATTCGAAACACAATTAGAAGCTTATGTTCATTTTTGTAAGAATCAATTATAATAATACTCTAGATATATATATTGCAATAATAATTATTAATATATTTATTTATTATTCTTGCTGTTATTCCTATTATTATAGATAATGCAGTATTCTTTCCAGAATTTAAAGAAGGAAGAAAAAAAGAAAATAATAAAGATGACAACAAGAAGGAGTGCATTCATGACACTGATAGTAGTGCAACAACACCAAGTTCGATGAAATCAGATGAAACAACAGACGAAGAATTAAACGATAACGACACCATATTTAAACCATTAGTTCACACAGATTCAAGTGATTTCGAATGGAGCGATTCAGATTTTTAAAAAAATTAAAAAATAAAAATATTATTTATTTAGTTATTTATAAATAAATACATACACATACATCATCATCATCATCATCATCATCATCATCATAATCATAATACATATTTCATTCACCACATATCAATATATACACATTCAACAATTTTTCAAAAAAAAAAAATCTTTAATTAGAAAAAATAAAAATCTTTTTAATTTAAATTTTTTTCAATTCCAAAAATTTTTTCAATTAAAAAAAGTTGGAGTATGGCGTGTTTAATTTTTGTTGGTGGTGGTGTTGCTTAAAAAAAAAAAAAAAAACAAAAAGGTT